CACATATTTTTCTATAAATTTAGCCATTTATGTCGTTTCTGTACTTTGTTTGTTTTTATACTTTGGTGGGTAATGGTTTTTGAATTCATAATTATCATTAATCAAACTAAGCAAACAAATATTGTTAAAGCAAAAGTAACAAAGTAAGGTGCACTGAAAGTAGCAACACCCTTAAGCATCACTATTTCTTTGGCATACGGATCTGGTTCGTAACTGACGTCAATGACTCTACTTCTTATGATTTCTTTGTAAACTAGAGCTGATTTTCTTGGAATACGTTTTCTGTTAGTATCATTCATGTCCACTTCATAGATTCCGAATCTCAACCTGTAAAATTAAAAATAATAATAATATGCTAGACAACCACATCAACTACCAGTACCGGAATTAAAATTTTCTTGAAATCACTGGTCATTGTAATTCCACTAAGATTATCATAAGTCTAAACTTATGATAATATTTGTATTCTACTAGAATCTGCTCATAGTTACAATGGCAGTTGAGTCTCGACGGGGTATCAGTGGATTATCGGGCTTTACACAGACACTCTAACGCGTTACTGAAGCAGACAGACACTTTATGGGCATTTCTGCAAGAAGGCTTCGGTGGTCCAATTTTTTTTCTTAATTTCAGGAAAACATTGAGCAGAAGAGAAAAAGAACTCTAACTTACAAAATATTCCGCTACCGCAACTAGATTCTTAACAGTTAATAACCTATTTAATCGACCGAATTCAGCTACCACCGAAGTCTAAGGATAATTTAACAAGAGGCAAAAAAAAATTTTACAAAAATTAAAAAAATTTTTGTAAAATAGGAAAAGGTAATATAAACATCCAATAATCTACATAAATATTTACTAATATGACTAATTATTAAATCAAGGTCAACACAAAGTGCATTCGTATCTCTTAAAAATAAAATTAGAACTTAACCTACGAGACTTAGCTACGAGAGAAACTAAAAGAAATCAATATTTTGGAACTTGTGCGACTAATATCTTTCAATACTTTTTATACATAACGAGGTAATTCATGCAACTTTAAAATTTATCCTGCAGTTTTTTATTCGCATACCTCTGTCTATCTTTTTCTTTATACCTTTCATAATTATATAATTCGATCGCTTTTTATCTTGGCTTTTCTAGCACGTTCCTTCATCTGCTTGATTTTGCCAATTTTACTTTTCTGTTTTGATTTCCTTAAAAATGTATAGAAATTCTTGCTTTTGAAAGAAAATATGGCTTAGATGGCAGGTATTTTCCGATTTCGGTGGAAGTTTTTTGAATTCGGTAGCATAAAATCCACCGAATTCAAGGCCACGGGATTCAGAAAAAATATTTTTTTTTTTATATATTACTCGTAAACGACAATACTTGTAAAACCAATAAATTCTTATTATACATATTTTAGTTGTTACAATAACATATTATAAAAAATATTACATACAACCATAAAATTTAGTTTTGAATTATCGTATACACCCTAATAATATAGTATAATATAGGTCAATACCTATAGCTCAATGTATAAACCTAATTAAAAAAACAGCCTGGGTCAAATCCACCGAATTACGTATTTATTTCGACAACTCGATAATTTGACCCGTAGCTCAGTTGGTAAGAGTAATACAGTGCAAAATGATCGTGGGTTCAAGTCCCATCGGGTCGAAAAAGTTTTGTCTATGTGTTCGATCTTTGTATTAATAAATAATCATAGTTAAGAAGTATTACAATTAAATTAACCTTCAAATAAAAAACTGCTTCAAGATCAGTTCACCCATATGGGAGCCACAATACCACAGACATACATACAGAAAGACGCAGTTACACAGACAAAGGTTTCAAATACCCTGTTTTTGCGACGAGTGTTAAAAATATACGTACGAATAGCCATGAGCCCATTCAAAATTGTCCATTAAGCTCCAAATAAAATACCCCTTCACATTAACGCCTTCATTCACCGCATTTATAACAGAGCTAAGATAATTCCTAATATAACTGACACGGCTATCATCGTCCAGGCCTGTGAGTGTAGAGGCTCCATTCTCGGTGATATAAATTAGAGGATTGTTGTACTTCTCCTTTAAGAAATTGAGAAGATAGTACAGACCTGGGGCGTATTCCTGAAAAGTTAAGAATAAATTTATAGAAATCTTGTTGAAGCCTTCGGTGCCTAGAAAGGTGACAGCTAATTACGATTAAGGACAGATTACTTAATAGTTACTAGGTAACAAATACATAACTCTCATACAAAATCGAAAAAACCTACGCTATAATAGCCTACTGAGTCTGAGACCAGGCGATCACTACGATGAAAATGTAACCTAAGCACGCGCTCAGAGAGGTGAAAATAACGTTGCCCACCGTGTGCAGCCGTGCGAAGCCGAATGCTCATAAATGAAAGATTTATATGAGAGCTTGCGCCGACGTCGACGCATTCAGCTGTAGGCACTTATCGCATAACCTTGAACGAGTGACGGAGCCCCGCCTTAACGACTAATCATAGTTATTGTAAGGGGCAACGTACAACCTACTTGGTACAACGCCCTAGTTCCCATAACTATGTATTAAATGTACAAAATGTATCTGTTCTTCTATATTAATCATTTTTGGTATATTTGCTTTATTTGTTGCCATGTCGTAAGTCGGTTGAAGCATCTACCACCAGGTTATGATATATGGTGGCCCATGTCGAAGTCCTTGTATCGACTTCACTGATGCTAGTCTAACTCAATGTAACTGAGATGCCCCAACACAGTCCATGAATCACTTGCTGTTGTGCCCTTTGTGCCCTAATACTACACTAGGGAAGATGTCTACGGCCACGGATAACGCAGTAAAGGTGGCAACACTAAACAAAGTCAATAATATAGTCCTGAAATATAAAAGAAGCATCGACATATCGACGATAAGAAAATGAATTTATTGCCAGGTGCAAAATACTTGAAGAGACCAGGGAAAGAATGAACAAAGTCGTAAAAACATATCTTAATATAACACCTCCATTTAGTTTAGAAAACGCTGAGGATATTTAGCCTAAATCAGAAAAATAATAATAAGGTTAAATTAGCAAGTTAATAAGATAATTATATTAAATTTTTATTCAATTATTGATATTCAATTATTTTTTGTGAAATTACTCCACAGGTTTGTTATAATTATTAATACACTCAGAAAAAATTCCTTCAATCCGGCCGGATTCGAACCGACGTCTTCTAGTAAACCGTGCCAGACGCTATATCAAATTAGCCACGGGACAAACCAGCGGACCTCACGAATTTTTTCTATGTGCTTGCGTCGTGTCTTTGTATTTGGTTTTTCAACGACTTTTTAATCGTAACGCCATCTACGAGAAATCTATGACAGATTCATCACCCAGTTAGTACCTTTACAGCTACCAGTCCTGGCGAGAGATGTCGCTATTCGCTGTATTTTAAATTTTTATTGAATTGATATTCAATTATTTTTTGTGAAATTACTCCACTAGTTTGCTATAATTATTAATACAAAGATCGAACACGCAGAAAAAATGCTAGAAGACGTTCGGTTCGAATCCGGCCGGCTCGAAGGATTTTTTTCTGAGTGTTCGATCTTTGTATTAATAATTATAACAAGATAATTATAATTATTTTTTGTTAAAGTGGATTACTTAACGTTGGACGCATTTATTTCTGCATTGACTTCATTTCATATAGCATTTGTGCGTCTTTTTACCAATATATCTATATTTAATTAATACCTTCCAAATGAAAAATTGCTCTTTCCTGAAACTCTCTTCAAGTAACTTTGATCATTATTGCCCTTCATTTGTTGTTTAGAACAAAAGAATTAACATTGAAAACAAGTCGGGCATAAAAAATAAAGGTGCAACAAAATTCATTGGAGCTTCTCACTTAAAACACATATACAAAAACTAGTTTTTAAATAAAACATTATAAAAATTACACGTGTCATTCCAAAATGTGGCCAAGAGGGATCCTTAAATTTGCCAACCATTATGTCGTCTTCAAGTGAGGGTACCGTGAATGATCCTTCCAAAGAAGAGTTTCTGTAAACGTATGTGCTGAAGTAATGGTTAAGGCCCAGGAAGTCGGCCGATCCTTTCAAATACTGTATTTGTTCATAAGAAAAAGGACGCAATCGGGAAACGTTCAGTCCTTGCCGAGCGCTTGCCGCTGCGACCCTATCTATCATTATTTGTGGGTAGTTCCCTTGCTCAGAAAATATTGGATGCATAAAATGATCGTTCTGAAAAGTAACAAACATGTCTCATTAAAAATTAAGACAATGAATTAGACGTAAATGGAGACAATTATCAGTTTCATAGATAGCTTATAGATAGTGCATTAATTTATATATCAACTTGATTGGTAATCATGCCAAAGTTGTAATGAAATCAATTAGGTCAAACAACAACACTTGAATCAATCAGTTTATATTAAAGATACAAGTGCATTTCTTAATCCAGTACAAACTGTTAAATGTATACATGCATATAGAAAAGGACAGCTAACGCTTATTATAATGAATTTAAAAAAACTTCGTAACTTACGTGGAATGCTGCATAATCGCGAGAAGCCTGAACATCTTCAGCAGAACCAGTAGCTGGCATTCCCCATTCCATACTAATAACAAAGCCAACCAGGCCACCTTGAGACGCTCTAAATTCATCGTCATAAATGTGATAGGCTCGCGCATTTGCTAACAAATAGTGTCTCCCACATTCATAATAGCCTTCTCCAGGAGAATAAAGCAAAGGTGGGTGGTAACCAACACCATAACTATAGTAACAGTGGATATAAGGTTCATTGAGAGTCAACCAATGCTTAACTCTATCTCCAAAGTTCTCGTACAGGACTCTAGCGTAATCTCCGAACCAATCCACAATTTCTTCATTTAGCCATCCTCCTCGTTCCTGGAGACTTTGCGGCAAATCCCAGTGATATATTGTTACAAAGGGTGCAATATCGTTCGCTAACAATTCATCAATAAGATTATTATAATATTCTATTCCTAGAGGATTTATATAATCTGGCCGGCCAAAAGGCATAATCCTCGTCCATGATATTGAAAATCTGTAGTTGTTGACTCCCAATTCTTTGAGCATCTCAACGTCTCTTTTAAAGAAGTAGTAGGAATTGGCGGCGATGTCGGCATTGGTTCCATCAGTTATTGATTCAGGCTTAGTATGAACAAAATGATCCCATATAGACCGACCTTTGCCTAATAGTAAACAAAAAATAAAGAACAATCACTAGATAGGAAAACAGTAGGACCTCTTGACTCTACCTTGACGTTTCGTGAACAATACATTTAAGAACAAAGTACTTCAATTACTGGGCTTTATTATGAGCAAGACTTCTCTTGTCAAATGCGTGAAGAAGTCTTTAATATCATTAAGATGAGACGGCTGATTTTGGTTTTCTTAATTTTTCTTTATTGCGGTGGCCTAGTCTCGTCCTCCGTCCGAAACCATTACTGTCAAATAAGAAATTCTTGACCAAATTAAAAGACTAAGCTTCATTCGCATCATGATTCTTTTGAATATGGTCGAGTGTAATTGTTTCGGACGGCTGCCGGATAGAGAACGAGAGTACAGACCCTGAGTCCTGCGTCCTGATTTTGATTCAAAACGGAATCGACCCGATCGGGTAGTCTCGAAATCAGATGGGTTTTTGAGTGAGAAGATGAACCTGATTCCTAATATATCTTTCTAATTTGTGAGTTAAAACAACTATTGTTCCGATTAGAAATGTCAAAAGTTTCCGATCGGCCAGCTGTGAATCGCAATTATGCGCCTCGACTCGGAAAAGACGCAGTTTCCGATCGGGAGAGGCAATCAAAATCAAGCTGATGGACCGGTTTTGGTGACTCTTTTTTGTTTGAAAAATTGGGACCTCGATATTGGTAATTTGAAGCAAATATTTCCCTAAAGATAGCAAACTAGGGGATCCGATTTCGCGCACTTTCCGTTAACCCATCCCAATAAAATTTGGCAAGTAGATGTAATTCCAATAAAAAAGCCGATAAGCTTAATTTTGAGGTCGGTTTTTTTAACAAAAAAATTATAATGACAAATCATACCTGCAAGCATGTTAGGATTTCGAGTTCGATTAAAAATTCACGTATAAGTAATAGGTATGTAACGCTTACCGTCTACATTCCAAGCACCTTCAATTTGATAGGCCGCTGTTGCAGCGCCAAACTCAAAATCATCAGGGAATCTTATTGGACTTTTGTGTGTCAAAACGTCGGCATTAGTTGATATTAAACTGAAAAATAAAAATTTTGATAATTTAATTCTGTAAAGTGGTAGGTACATCACGAATACCAAATACTTAATACTTTTAGCCTTCTGGATGAAAATCGTGACATGTTTTTACCGACATTACTCGTAATGATTGTTATGAGTAATTAAAAGTCTGCAAATTTATTTCGTGACCATTTTATTTAGAAGTTACAGGTTATAATATATATAGTATTATGTTAAACTTTAATTACTTTTTTCCCCCATCTATGTAGTTTGATGCTGTCCGAGACCCTTGTTCACTTGTATGTATTGTTTTTGTTTGTGTTACTATTTCTTTTTTTTTTAAACTTAAGTTGCTGTTTTTAAATTGTATAAAATTTACATTTTACGTTGTTTTTGCAAGCTGTATTCACTCGTAAATAGTTGTGCAATTTAGGTAAGATCTTCACCTTCACACTTTACAGTTTATTACTATTATTCCCAAATATAACATTACAGTATAAATTGCACTAAATGTCAAAGTATAAGAAATTATATTGAGATCGTCAGACCAAAATGAAAATTGTAAGAAAAATACACAATAATTAGAAAATTAACAATTCATTACATAATATTGTTGTCATAAAATTACATTTCAAATATCACTCTCCATCAAGGATCGTCATAAGCTGATAACAATTATACAAGAGGAAGTCAATGCGGTAAAAATTAGAATAAAATAGGAAATGCTCAATATCGTTACAATTTTAGGTCCATAAATTCATTTACAAAGTAAAAAGGCTTTTTCAAGAAAAGTATTTTCAGCCGGCGCCTAAATGTTTCGTCAGATGGTTCAAGTCTGAGAGTAGCGGTAACGCTCATAGTAAGTAGGTCTGATGACACGCGGGTTTTTCTCTGCAAGTGACGTGTGTTGGGGGACTGTTCTCAAATGATCGGTACGGCGGAGTAGGATGCTAGAAACATTTACAGTACCAAATGAAGAAAGATTATTTAATTATGTTATATATAATAATTCGTTTTCATCCATATATTATACATATAAATTATTTTCTTCTTATCGTGTCGACGGTACTTCTGTTCTGTAAGACATTATTGACATTGAAATAGTATTTTGCTGCCACTTTGATCACGCTATCTAAAATCGACTTCAGCGGCGGCGTATATATTTCAACAGGATTATGTCATTATATTACCTCCTAGTGTTTGATGTTTTGACATGACACGCGTTGACATATCTACGTATACGTTAAGTGCCTTGTGAAGGTTGGCACTGGAATTTAGATAAAGTACAACCTAGAAAATATTACAAACACCATTTAAAAAATTGTTCGAGTAACAACTTACAAGCATTTAAAACGACTTTTTTACTTAGGTACAGTAGGTTGGTTATTATGTACATAATAACTGCCTCCGTGGCCGAATGTTTGCCATGCCGGACTGCCACGCAGAGGTCCCAGGTTCCATTGCCGGGAGAAATATTTGTATGGCCTACATTTATTTCTCTCGTAAATTTGGGTGTAATTTGTGGTTATCTATGAGTGTCCGTGGTACCCGCGACGCAGGGTTTCCCTAGTGCGGGGCTATGTTGAGTGTGTGCGTTATATTATTATAAATATGTACGTACACTTTACCATTCACCCACGGTGCCATGCAGATACCTTGAACATCAACACGCTACAACAACCTGTTTCATTATTTCCACTCGCACCAGTCTTTTATACCCGCCCGTGTGACCGTATATTATTGGTGTATTTGACCAGGCCATCTTTAACGACATAATCAGGTTCGGATGTGGACGCGAGGTCCACAGCACGTTTCCTCTCACATTCATTCTATAAATCACTTCACACTTGCAGCCTACAGATGCACTATAGGTACTTAAAAGGCTCTAATGGCATCACAAGATCACGGCCCGTGATTTCACGGGCGCGCCGCACGTTTGTAGTTACAGGCGAGTCCGCGTCGGTACGGGCAGCACTCTTCCAACGTTCATCGCATTGGAACGAGCTCGCGCGGCACGAGCCGTGACATCACGAGTCGCGGGAAATGCACTTGTCTTCACAAGACATGACATTTGACAAACGTAGCTCAAACCATAGTAGGTAGAGCTCGCGACTCACGCCCGAGTGTGCGCCACCACGAGTGTCGTCGTAGGCCCGAGGCGGCCCGGATTTGCCTGTGGCTCAAGTTTGCCCGCACACGGTCTCACATTCACGTACATTTATTTCTATATAAGTTTTGTTTATAATGTTCTTCCCTAATGAACCTTAGGGTATACAACTGTAACCTGTGCAATCAGCGTTAGGGACGTTATCAGTGAGGTCCTGACCCCAGATCAGCCCGTTTACACAGAAATTATCCGGTTTCAACAGCTTCCTGGCCACTGTTGTGAAGAGAGTGACGGCCCATTTATGCAGGCACTTGGCACGGGAGACTCTTCATAATTAGCATTAATTTAAATTTGCGTGTTTACTAACTTCGTTATAATATTATAATTACAAACACTGTACGAAGATATTCTTAAATTAACAAATAATTATTATATTGAGTTTTATGATTCCCAACAATCTAAGTTGGCATCCCTTTTTGTTTTTATCCTGTACAGAGATTCCATATTGCTCTAACGTCGATCGACGTGTAAGCGATTTATTTGGGGAATACTCTTGTGTTCAAAACTTACCACTCCCCGAGCAAATTTGTACTCTACATGAATAAGAATTCGGATTTCTTTTTTCATTTATTTTCTTAAATTTGATTGAAGTGGTTGGTTGTTAGTTTGGTGTTCTCTCAATCGAAATGTCATCAGACGAAAAACCAAGTACAAGTTGCAGTGGACCCTTCAAATAATAAAATGATACCTTCACCAGCTCGGTCGTCATCGAAAGCTATGCTGGTGGTTGCACGTTGAAAAGGACAAGTGAAGATTAGGACATTTTGATTATTTCTCTGATATGACCTCTCTTTCTGGTATATTCCATGTCTTTGATTGTTAATTTCATAGGTTGGACTTGTTTATCATTGTTATTTGTTGATTTAAGTAAGTAGGTACTTAGTACAGGCAAGCTCGCCTAACTGTTAATAGTTTTAATAATATCATTAGTGAGTAAAATACCATTCCTACTTTAAAATATACCCAGAGCTTTGTTAAATTTATTGTTTTTATTGCATGTCGCATACATTGCTAATTCTAGATGTTACAGTGTTGAGCATAGCAACTACAGCAATATATAAGTACATTTATTTGTACTTATATATTGCTTAATACATTACCTTATAACATTATACTGATTTTTATTATTATTAATATTGACAATAACATCACATTACTATATTGAATTATACTGAATATGAAATACATATATTATACGTTCAAGAGTTGTTGTTGTTTTTGGTCCAAATATATCGATTTTACTTGGCAACCCTACGGATTTCGCATTTTGACTTTGTAGACCACTGAGCACATTTAAAAAAAAAATTACCAAACTGCTGCTACAATAATTGCAATCCTCTTATCCACCATGTTAAAACAAACTACAACTTTGTTCCTTTATTATAATATGACTGATATAAATATGGACAACATCTTTATCACATCAAGTAGAGTTTTTATCGTTACATCAAAGGTATTATTCCTGTAAATCATTCTAAAACACTTCTTAATATTATCTTTACAATTGTATTTTACTTATCTATACAGGCCTTTTAAAAATCCTCGACTAATTTTCAACGCCTCATGACTAGTCTAGTCTTTTAACCCTCAAGTCTTGAACTTAAAACTAAAACTGAAGACTAATTCGAGTCGAAGTCTTTTAACCCTAGGAAGCTTAAAAGACTTATAGGACTAAAACGACCAAAAAGACTAAAACGACTGGCGCCTCATAGCCTCGGGAGTCGCGAGTCATGAGTCGTATGGCGTGATTTTATTTCTACCCACAAGGTATTTATTTTACGATTTTTGTTATAAGTAAATAAACGTTATTATTTACCACGTACGTCATTTTTATTTATAAACTTCGGGTTTAATAAGACATAAAATAGGTATAAGTCTTTGCAAACAACTCGAGTCGTTTAAGTCGTTCAAGTCTTTTGAGTCTTTTAGTAAACGACTGAGTCTTATTAATAAAAACTCGAACCCCCAGTCTTAATTTTAGAGTCGAGTCCTGTAAAACGGAGTCGAGTCGTTATAAAACGCCTTAAAAGACTGAGTCTCTTTCATTGCTAGGTAATCCTTATAGAATTACTCTTGAGAGTACAAAGACAATTTAGTACAATTAGTCGCTTTTATCACAACTATCGGCCTCTCAAGCACTTTTTCAGTATTTATGTGCGAACATCGAGTATATAACCAGAAATAGAGACGAAATAAAGGTCATCCATCCCTGGTAACTCATCAGTCAAATGTTACTGATATCACTTTTCAATATGAACTCTGACTAAAAACTGAAATCACAAATTAGAAAGCTGAAATAATACAGCACCAACAACCGACCTGTATGTACGTCTCCGTATATTCCAAAAATATTCTGTATTTATTGTAATATAGATAATATCTCAAACTATGGGGGGCAGTTCCATTCGATGGTGTGGGAAAAGCAGCAACATCAACTAATTACAAAACAAACAGAATCACTTTTCATCGGTAATTAAATATTACATTATGTAATTTTTCAATTATCGTCCAATAGAGCAAAGCTCAAGTTAAACTGGGCGATTTGAAGTGAAACAATTGACGACACCCGTCAATTGTTTCGAGTTCGGGCTTGCCAATCGGAGCGCAGTTGTCACCATAAAGATATAGCAGAATAGTTTTCAAACAAATTAAATGAAATTTCGTTTCTATTTCTGGTTATATACTCGATGTGTGCGAAATTCAATTTCAAATTTACCATGACCTTTTCGGTGAAGGAAAACATCGTGACGAAACCTTCACGTCGAAGAAGATTCACAACCCGAGGGTTTCTGAGGAAAACTCGTGCAGTTCCCAACCTGTATTGGGTCAGCGCGGCGGATTATGGCCTAAACTTACTTTTTTGTTACGTGGCCTAAACCCTGGCCTGATTCGTGCCCAGCTGTGGGATGTACATTACCTTCCTTGAAATTAAAAAAAGAACTATGACGCTGTATGATAAACATACCATCGACATTGGTCCTTGATAAACTATATACAACATATATATACATTATTAAAATGTAATAATTATCAGAATTATCATTATTACCATAACCTTACCTAAGCTTTCAGTGATTTTTACGTTATACTATGTCTGGACATAATTGGCCCGAAAGGTTTCGTAGGGTAATTATGCTATTGGTAGAAATGTGTTCTGTACTTCATTACCCTAACGTAAGTTGAGTCTGCATTGGGAGTTACCGAAAGCCACTAATTTCACTGATATATATGTATATTTATTACTTTTATTCTCTAAACGATAGACAGTCACACCGGACCGGGCGGCTCGCAGTAATGCCACACGATCGCATTCATGCATCTTGCTCATACTCAAAACTGGTGACACATACATCACTCGCACACTTACAGGTTTATGTTTGATCTCTGTATTATATTGATTGATTGACCAATAATATTGATTTATCAAACTATGACGACATGAAAGCGACTTAGGGATTTGCCAATCGACGTATGGTACTCACCGATTGTTGCCCCTACCGAAAGACGAACATTATATTCCCCGCAATGATCTTGTTCCCGTTTTAACAGGTCAAAATAAAGACGATGTATTTTTTTATGTGTCTTTAATGCTAACCGGGAAAAGCCAAAGAAAAAGAAAAAATACATTGAAACGTCAATTTGACAAATTAATTTCTTAAGTCTGTGGCCGGCGTCGAATCGCAGGCGGGCGTAGAACACACGTCTAACGTCGAACGCTTGTTATTGCTATTTTTCTGTGTAAAATTATTACATTTGTTAGTGACCATATTGGAGATTTCTTCATAATTATCTCATTTAACGTAGTTATACATTACAAGGCTGAATAAACACGCTTTTAAAATGTCCGGAATTAGTAAAATCATTCCCCACATTTCCAGTCGTAATTTTGGAACAGTAAGTGCCGCGTTATACAGTGGGAAATACAATAGGAGTTATTTTACGTACACACAAGAATTGTCACAGCCGTTGGATCGGAAGCCGGATTTTGTGACAGCGAAGGAAGCTTTTGAAAAATGTTTAAAATCAGGTACGGTAAATGCATTGTTACTTACTATATTGTTTGTGAATGACGATCAGTTGCATATGATTATTCTACCTATTACCTCGTTAAAAAGGGATATGCAATGACGTTATATACGATACGTACTGGAATATAGTCCGAAGTTCAAATTAATCAGTGAATAGGTTTAAGGAACCTTAAGCCTTATTTTATGGACTCATAATGTTTATATTGGCATGTGGTTAGTGTAGGTCTGTTTTTTATAAATATTTAATATCCATGGCCTTGGACAATGTTATTTTTGGTCTTATTTATTCACAAGATGCAAGATTGTATACTCCCTTTGAGTTAGATTAAAACTTCTTATGTTTGATAAGATTATTTGTACAAAAATTTATCTATACTCTTCAGCTCATATGACTAGAAGAACCTTTATGAATTAAGTATATTATTATTATTAGGGTGGCTTCATTTAGGGCCTATATGCTGCCCCTCATCACTGTGACGATCAACTGATCCATTGTGATTACCACTAATTGCATTTCGGAGTCAAGACCAACAGCCTTAAACACTAAAAGGCTTTCCTTGCTCCAACACTTTTAAATGTTCTCTGGCTGTAGCTTGTGTCTTCTCAGTATGAACTTTGTTTGCTCATCCGGGTGCAGCATTGGGTGAGGAGCTGCACAAGAGTGGCAGAATCTACACTCTATTCTCTCTCTGCCCAATATTTCATATGTGTTTGTTCAAGCCACAATGCTCTGTTATGAATCTAGTGAGCATTCTGATGCCATTCTTCTCCAATGATTAATTAAGTACATAGTCTAGTGATGAAGTTAATGTGAAGAAAAGTAATACAAAGTTTTGACCACTTGCCCCGCTAAACTGTGGCCTAGGGGCATACACATTTAGTGGGTGCACTGTCTGTCAATTTTGTGTGGTAAGCTATGTGCTTACCACTAGGTTATTATTATTAAATTAATAAATTTAGTAGTGGCAGAGGTCCTTGTGAAAGAGTTCGTCCAGGGAAGTACTACCAAACTTACTTATTTCTGCCACCAAGCAGTAATGTGAGCATTACTGCGTTCTGACACATCAGGTACATGGAACTTGTCAACTTATGTCTCAGGGTGCCGGGCGCAGTGGCAGTGCCCCTCAGAACAATGTGATTTAAAGCTCTGATTGGCACCAAAAGTGTTATGGATAGGAGGTTTGCTTACCATGACACGACTGGTTTGTCCCTTGTCTGGGAAGACAGAGACTTTCCAGACAGTCACAGGAGATATTGTACAAGTAAAAAAGTATGATAAACAATAGCCCCGGTACTTGCATGCATGTACATGCTTCAACAATAATAAGGAAAACAGTACAAAAACTCTCTATGTAAGCCCATGATATGTCTTTATATCTGTAGATTAAGTCTTTACTTATTTAATCTATCATTACATTTGTCAGTGAAACACTCTCCACAATTCTGTTATTTCTTTCTATTATAGCTGTTATAGCTTTCTGAACCTTCATAACCCTGTTTGATGATTTCACCTATTAAACATGTATTTTATACACATTATTATTGTTATTCCGTGGGGCCATCCATTGACTTGCAATTATATGGACGTCGGGTCCACGCTAAAAAGTGTCCGAACTTATAGGGCGTTAAAAATCGTATACAGAGCGTCATTCACGCTTTAGTCTTTGTTTGTTCGACTGACAGCGAAGCACGCAAAATTAGACAGTACTGCGATGATAATTACAATTTAAATTCAACATTTTAGCTTTTTCATATTCCTTTACATGTCACTACGTTTAAATCGGTTGACTTGGGACATTTTTTTCGTGGTTTTTGTATTAGACCCGTCGTCCATTTATTTGTAAGTCAATGGGGCCATCACATTCTTTCACTTTTGTCTGTTCAGTACGGCTTATTTGTAGCATTCTCTCCCCCTACCTCTAATGTTTCCTTGTATGATTAACAGGGTTCAGTGTATTTACCTAAACTGCAAGGAGTAATACAAATGGAGTTGATAATAGCTCCCTCCATTCCAATCTCCGATGATAAATAATAATAAATAGATCTTTACTATATCTAGCTATATTACCCAGAATTAGATTCTAAAACGGGTTTTTTATATTCAGAATTATATCTATGGAATGCCATCGAACCACTTCATTGCATAACGAGAAATAATATTACACTGTAAAAACACACCCATTTTACACAATAAAATATTTGGCATTGAGCGGGAACTAGACGTAAATGCTGTGCTGTAAACAAAACTATAGATCAATTTATAAACAGAGTAATTCTATATTTAAGGTTCATGAATTGAAGTGTAAAACAAGCTTCTTTAAGCATTGGATTGGAGTGATGGATTATAGCACACTCAATTTCAGGTGCTTTTTAACCAACTTCAAAAAAAGGAGGAGGTTCTCAGTTTGACTGCATGTTTTTTTTTGTATGTATGTTACGCGATAACTCCAGTATTTGTGAACCGATTTTCATGATTCTTTTTTTGTTGGAAAAAGGATACCTCCATAGTGACCCCATTTAATTTTGAAGAAAATCATCCACCTCTATGGGTGGCTGTTCACGCATGAAGATTCAAGTTTATAAATGGCTCCTAAATTTTATTATAAGCAGCAATTATTTTAATGGTTGATTTTGCTATTCTCCAATTCAAGGCGTTTTTCTCTCAATAAACTTTGAGTAGTAAGAACCGATTTTTATTATCTCTTGTGTCAAGTCCCGTATGGTGGCGAACTAGGGGATGAATCCGGGTTTGCGCACTTTCCGGTATCCGATTTCAATAAAACTTGGTAATTATATGTAATTCCACGTACTTTGGGGTCGTTTTTTTTTGTTCTGTAAGATAGGCTTACATTTGCCCCCAAATTACCTGATGTTAAATGAAGAATTGATAATGGTACCATCCACCTAAAAGATGACATTAAGCCATTCTGCAGTATTATATTATCACAAATAGATTTAAACATATTGATACTAGTGTCAAGGCAATAACTTTAGTAGAATAGTGCTGCCACTATTTTAAAAAGTAGTTGAAAAAACCAAATACAAAGACGCGACGCAAGCACATAGAAAAAAATTCGTGAGGTGCGCTGGTTCGTTCCGTGGCTTAGTTGGTATAGCGTCTGGCACGGTAAGCTAGAAGACGTCGGTTCGAATTCAATAAAAATTTAAAATTCATCAACATTAGTTCAATGATCTAGGTGTGGAAACTTAAAAGACAGAGTTGCTTTTGCAATTATAACTAGTTTGGATTGTTATATTGTGTTGATAATTCTATATAATGATACAAAGTTTATTTAATTAATAGGAAGGCAAGTCACCATTGTAAGGTAGTGGGAGCCATACTAAGTGTAAATTACTTTCAATTTTTATCTCTATAGATTGATGTTTATTCATTCAGAATGTTGCAGCCGAAATTACATCATTCACCACGCTTTTTTTTAGATTACTGAGAATAATAACATATGTTTGAGACACACAAATAATAACAAAATATAATACATATATTACTTGAATGTGCTTGTTTTGTATTGATTAATTACCTCCACTTGGAAATTAAGTCAGAAAAAATTATATCGCAATGTTCATGTCATTACCCCTTGACACTCACTGGCAGAACTAGGGCAATGTCAAGGAGATCATTAGTAACGACTTTGCTATTTTTGTCTAATGACGTTTCAAACTTGGCTGAACATCTGAATTTCGAGTTTATTGAAAAATGCGACTTTTTATGTGATATTTCATGTATTTTACTTTCTTGCAAAGAAAAGGAAGATATTAAAATTTATTCACAAACGCAAGGGTTTACAATGTGAAATAAATTATTGTTTTTAACCGACTTCACAAAAAGGAGGACTTTCTCAATTGGACTGTTTTTTTTTGTGTACTTTACGCGATTACTTCGACATTTGTGAAATTTCGATGATTCTTTTTTGTTGGAAAGGCGATACCTCAGTAGTGGTCCTATTCATTTAACTATTCTATTTAATTTCTATTTAATTCTATCCTATTTAACTGCCTCAGTGGCCTAACGGTTACCATGCTGGACTGCCACGCAGAGGTCCCAGGTTCGATTCCCGGGCCGGGAGAAATAGTTGTATCGCCTACAATTATTTCTCCTTCTTGAGTTTGGATGTAATTTGTGGTTGTCTATGTGTGTGTCCATGGCACCCGCGACACAGGGTTTCCGTAGTGCGGGGCTATGTTGAGTGTGTGCGTTATTTATTTATTTATTATTATTATTTATTATTCAAATTTGAAGAAAATATTCCACCTTTATTAGATTTCACCCGCCTTCCAATAATGGGCAATTATTTGCACCGATTCGTCTTACAAGTTTAATATTTCGTCAACTATACTTATTCTACGCAGACTAAGTCACAGGCATCAGCTAGTTACAAATAATTTAATTTTTTATTGAATTGATATTCAATTATTTTTTATGTGAAGTTACGTCTTCTAGCATATCGTGCCAGACGCTATATCAACTCCACAGAACGAACTATCGGACCTCACGAATTTTTCTGTGCTGGTTGTTTTGTCTTTGTATTTGGTTTTTCTACGACTTTTTAGCCGTAGTGCCTTCTACGAGAAATCCATGAACGTATTTCGTTACGAGATGTCGCTATTCATTATATTTAAATTTTTATTGAATTTGTATTTAATAATTTTGTATGTGAAATTACTCCACTAGTTTGTTATAATTATTAATACAAAGACTGAACATTTAGAAGGGCTAAAAAGTCGTTGAAGAACCAAATACAAAGACACGACAACAAGCACATAGAATAATTCGTGAGGTCCGCTGGTTCGTTCCGTGGCGTTTTCGTTGTTCTATATTCACCTTTTACTTTTTTGTATATAGCAATCGGAAAAACGCCTTTGTGCATTATTGTTTTAATTCCAAACATTACAGGCTCCCCTGTCTACCAGTAGATAGGCAGACCGCTATAACTGCATCCCTGGCAGAACGGTTACCACGCCGCCGGGCTTCCACGCAGAGGAATTCGTATTGTTTCGGATTCGAATGGGACTTACTGTACAAGCGACATCCAAAGTGGGTCCGAGTTTTCTAGATTTGTGTAGTTTCGGAACACTCGTTACGAATGCATTTGCAACTAATCATTTATTCATTTATTCATTTATTCATTTATTCAGTATGGCGAGTGGGCTTACAGAGCTTATCCAATACACCCACTAGCTTAGGTTACATTGATAATAAAAAAAAATAAAAAATTAAAATTAAAATAATCAAATAGAATCAACATGAATTAAAAATACTATAATACAATTTTAAAATGTCATAATTTTAACCTACTGAATAACTAATGTTCTATAAGTAAAAAATAGTCATTTAAAAATATGTTTGCCTTCATAAGAAGTTGTCCAAAGGAATCGGCAAATAGATCTATGTCATAGCGGTCAGCAAGCATATCGCCGATGAGCGTGAGCGCCCGCACGGAGGGAGCGTGCGCAGCGCGAATTGTACGTACAAACGGCCTTTGCAGCAAGCGCGGCCGTCTGCGCGGAGGCACTATCCCAGTCTCATCCCAACTGATGCGACTGGGCACCTGAATGCCGAATTTCTCCAGGATATCAGGACAGTCAATTTTACTGCGCACGATTGACAGATAATGTACTACGAGCATCCATTTTCGCCTAAATTCAAGCGTTTCCAAGTCTACCATGGCTGTTATAAACAAGGAGGGGTAGAGAGACGGATAATACCCATAAGTTCTCTTGTATAGCCATCGAGCGAATTTACGTTGTAGTCTTTCCACTACGAGGTTATATTTATTTTGGTGTGGATCCCAAATGATAGCGCCGTACTCAAGTTTACTGCGAACGTACGCATTATATAAAATTTTTGCTACTCCACTGTTCTGGAATTGTGAAGCAGTTCTCATAATGAAACCTAGAGTTTTGCTAGCTTTTTTGCACATGTCGGTCACATGATCATGAAAATCCAGTCTGTCATCCAATATTAGACCAAGGTCGCGAATTTTATTAACTCTATCCAGAGGAGCGTCATATAAACTATATCTACTAAGCAGAGGAGATCGTTTACGCGTAAAGGTGATCACCTGACACTTATTTACGTTAAGTGGTAATCGATTAATCCGACTCCACTCGGCCACGGCATCAATATCACATTGGAGCGCCTCAATATCTGACGCCTTACTAACCTTCGTAAATTTTCTTCGTAAATTCGTAAATCGGAGACATCTTATAATTTGGCATACTTATTTTTTTCATTATAAATCTTATTACCAGCAGGAAATACAATTAACATTCTAAAGGTTGTTATAACATGCAATTTATATGCTACGTATTTATGGATGAGAGATAAATAAGTCCACAGTTGAAGGTAAATAATTGAAGAAATTAATCCATATTTTCATAACATTTTATCGTTGTGAATTTTTATTTTGATTGTTACAATATGTCATGTTTACAAAAAGAAATGTGACATTAGGAAATGAAACTATTTTTCCGGATTTAAATCGCGTATATTTGTTTTTTCAAACAAACCGACGTTTCGGGCCCTTTACAGGTCCCATGGTCACGGTTGACTGAGGTGGTACAGTCTTCAACCAGTTATGTCTAATATTAATGCAAACCACCCTATTTTTTCACTATAGTTACAATAGTTATTAATTAAATACCTTATTTTTAATTTTACAAAGAAAACATTCCAATTTACGCTACATTAAGTTTTACAAATTATTTTATTGAATGAATTTTTATTAGGTTTAATTTATTATTAATTATTAATAGAAATTAGAATAAACTAAAACATATTAATTAGTACTGCAGTCTTATGTCTGTTTGGGATTTTTCATTAGAGGAAATACTGGATCCCAAACTGGTGGTACGGAGAAAAACCTTACCTTACGTGAGAGGTGTTACAGACAAGATCAGAAGAGTCCTCAGGCGTGCATCTATCAAGACCTATAATATACGCGATTTAAATCCGGAAAAATAGTTTCATTTCCTATGTGTAACAATCGCGAAAACCTAAGAACTCGAAATGTGACATTATTATTGAAAAAGGACACGGATATATGTTTCAAACTACCTACCTCACTCTTGTAGTGGTGTTATTATTGAACAATGAATCATGGTCATAATAAGTAATACACTGCGACTCTGCCCTCCTTGTCATAACTAACGTAATTCTTAGCATAATTGTATTAAAAAAAATACAGTCGACCTGAGAACCTCCTCCGTTTTTGAAGTCGGTTAAAAATGTCAAAATTCCATCTTATACCGAAATGGTGCAGAGCAATAGTCTGGAAGTAGTTTATATTATGTAATTGGCCGGGGATATAAATTAATTCCTCTTTATCATGAAATGTTAAGGGTGCGAAATAATGGGAACGCACCCTTAAAAACAGCTAATGTATATATTATTCTCAATTTCTGATTTCCAGTTTTTACTCCCCATTCCATATCACTTTCACGCTTAGGATTAGATCTCCAGATAAATTTATTAATATATGCATGACGGGTCCCGTATCAAAGCAGAATAACAAATTTTTGCATTAACTGTAAGGAAAACAGGTGAATAAATAACTTGTTTGCTGTTGTACTTGAGCTAAATACAACTCATTATGGTATTAAATTGATACGCGTTTGCTTCTATAGTCCATTTCTTTAGGTACTTAACTAAATATGATGTCTGTTTAATGAAATTACATTTATAAAATGATGTTTACTAACTTCAAATACAAATACTTCGCTTCATATGAAATTGTGTGCCTATTTTTATACCTATTGATTTGTAAAGTATATGTTTCAATAAAAAGATGCATTAAGATTGTTTACATTTAGTTAAGTACCTAAACAAATGGACTATATTCACTTGTTTATTAGATGTTGAATTGGTTCTTTACCTTATGTCATATATATAGCGTTAATATTTGCGTTTAAAAAATTGGGATTGTATGGCTTAAACTTTGACTGAGTTTTTTATTTCGGGTTTTAGTCTTTTTTATTTGAGGCTTTTTAGTTTTTTATATCGGGCTTTGTATTTGAGGCTAGTTTTCACCGACTTCAAGAAAAGGAGGAGTAACTCGATTCGACTGTTTTTTTGTGTGCATGTTACTTGATTACTACATTTACGGCATTTGTGATCCGATTTTGATGATTCTTTTTTTTGTTGGAAGGAGGGTATCTCAATACGAAATTACAAGCTTATGGGACTTGTCAACTATGTCTCAGGGTGACGGGCGCAGCGGAAATGCCCATAAGATTTTAGCGATTTAAAGCTGTGAGTGGCACTGCAACTGTTATAGGTCGGCGTGTCGCTTACCACCAGGCGCACGACTTGTCAAAAAAAATGGGACCTGTAAAGGGCTCGGAACGTTAGTTTGTTTGAAAAAACAAATATACGCGATTTACATCCGAAACAAATATGTAGTTTCATTTCCTATACTTACAGTAGACCTACCGTGTTTGGGTTCAGTAATTGATCTCGACATCTTTCTTACAGATAGTGACTTTATTGTCATTTTTTGGAGTACACTGTTTTGTATCGGGTTTTTTAAAATTTTAATTTAAATATTTGTATTATTTGTCATCAGGTCTAACTGTATTCGCGCAAGGTGCCGCCGCCACGCCCGCTCCTCTCCTGGACGCCATGACAGACGTAGGCATGACTGGCTCTATGAAAGATATCAAGGTCGTGCACATGCACACCGAGAAGGAGGCCAAATACGTCAGACCCGAATGCAAGGACGCTTTCAGGTATGTAAAAAGGAAATAACATTAACACATAAACTTAATACAGTGTGAAATTGAACTAATGGACCAAAAATTTTTATCCATATTAAGAGAAATCGCCGTAGTAATTATTTATGTTGCCTCTGAACAGTTAAATTTGACTAATTCAATTATTTGCTTCCTTTTATAAATTATAAATCCATCTGCTTTGGGTATTTGTTCAGCAGTAGACGTCAAAAACGAAACTGCATGTTAAAAGATGATTTTATCATGTTGAAAAAATTGACTGAACACTTTAATGACCATAAAAAGTAACGAGTTCGCGTTTCGAGAGCGCGTTTCTTGACTTAAACAATACACAATTTGCTGCTGCTGTAACAACTGCATCAACCCATATACGTTCTGTTGGGCACATGTCTCCTCTTCGTAAAAAGTTTGGGGTCATAGTTGAACCCACGTTGACCAAATTTGAGTTCGGGACATCACTTCGATGAGCTAAAACTCGAGATCAGTATTTGAATATTACAAAGAAAAAAAAACACACTACTTAGCGCGCTTTCCCATTACGTCTTAACATTTTATTTGTTGTTGGAGGACTGTCGTGTGTAACCTGTTCCCATATCACGACTACTGTCGTGACTGTGTCGTGGATGTTTAATTTATCGTTGAACGACTGTCGTATCTAGCTGTTGACACTAGACCGTGACGACACTATATCGGTTCACGGCAGCCGCCTTGTCGTTTGCACGACAGAATCGTTAGAAGCTATGATTATCTGTCGACACATTTTTATCGTGACGTTTTGTTTACGTCAGGCGACTATCGTTCTAGCTCTTCCCATTATCACGACAGTCATTCGTCGTAACGTCAAAAAAGTCGTGAACGACAATTAGTCGTGTTTTACTATATATATTTGTGAACAGCTTCGTTTAAATATACAAGTTACGACAGTTTAAACTGCACGACTATCTGTTGTCACGACGTAATGGCAACACGCCCTTAATATTTCATGATAAAGAGGAATTAATTTGTATCCACGGCCATTTACACAATATAAACTACTTCCAGACTATTTATTTGCGCCATTTAGGTATAACTTCGAATGTTGACCTTTTTAACTGACTTCAAAAAAAGGAGGAGGTTCTCAGTTCGACTGTGTTTTTTTCTGTGTATGCTACGCGATAACTCCGGTAAAATTTTGTGAACCGATTTTGATGATACGATTTTTGTTGGAAGTGGGGTCCTCGATAGTGGTCCCATTTAAGTTTGAGGAAAATATTCCACCTGTAAGGGTGGCAAACTAGGGGATGAATCCGGCTTGGCGTACTTTCCGGTAACCGATTTCAATAAAACTTGGCAAACAGATGTAGTAATGCCATGAACTTTTGAGGTCGGATTTTTTAGTACGCTGTACTGAGATTTACAATATGTAGCAGTGTTTTTAGTAGCATTGGTGCTCCTTATGAAAGATTTTGTCCGGGGGTAGGGTGGCAGTACTAGCCTTACCTATTTCTGCCGCCAAGTACTAATGTCAGCATTACTGTGTTCCGGTTTTGAAGGGTTAGCGCCCAGTTACACGAGGCATTATGTACATTAATGGCGAATCAGAATAGTATTTACTAGGCAACAACATTTAGGGTCGTATTCTAGAACTTTACTCAATGCTCAAGTCAGGATCTGAGTATGATTTCAAGCACTGGAAATACGACCCTAATGGCAGGGACTTGAGTATGATTTCGAGTGCTTTAAACCATACTCAAATCCTGACTTGAGCATTGAGTAGAGTTCTAGAATACGACCCTTAAATTCCTCTTAGAGCTAAGTCCAAACTCATGGTACCACGATTTCGTTTAACCAAGGTAAACAACTCTTTTATGGGGAATTGTATACGTTTTTACAATACGATTCCGGAGCATATATTAAGTTTATCATTTCCTAAGTTTAAAAACTACATTGAAAATATTTTGATCGAAAAATCATATTACAAATTTGAAGACTACGTGTTAGATAAAGATGTATGGAAAGGCGACACGGCTCCAGAATTCACACAAATTTGATTCAAAGTATATTCCATGGCATTTAAGTTTATTTGAAAAGAGCAATCCTTAGAGTTTCTTGCTCGTTCTTCTCAGGGAGGTCAGCGTAGTGAACGAGCCGTAGCTTAAATGTGACGTTTTCAAGTGTAAATTGATTTTACCTATGGAATAAATAATCTTTGACTTTGACTTTGACTCTAAATAACAACCGCGCGGCCGCCAGACCAAATTCAAGCCTGCATCGCCCGCGTGTTCTTCTTTACGTATTCTAGCTTTTAAGTTAAAACGTAAAAGCTAAATACGTAGAGCGTATTTTGCCATGACAGTTAGACAACTGCTCTACGTATCTCCGCGTGCGTCTGCAAGCGGTCGCTGCGTCGCGGCAACGCGACCCGTCCTCTCGGCGACCGAAGTGACCGCGATGAAATTTTAAAAGCATTGTACTGCACGTTTTTTTGCAGTATAAATCCGAACCGAATAAACAGTGGCGCATACATTAGATATAGAACCGTTCACACGGTGTTTATCCTGCAAAAAACGCATACACAGTCGTACAAACGCACCTCGAATATTGCAAAAAAAAACGTGCAGTGCAATGCCGTGTGAATGGGGGGTAAGAGTACTGGTGAAACTACACGCACATGGGACTTGTCTACTCATGTCTCAGGGTGACGGGCGCACTGTGCCCCTCAGATCTTTGCGATTTAAAGTTCTGAGTGGCACTGCAACTGTTATGGACAGGCGTGTAGCTTACCATCAGGCGCACGACTTGTTCGTCCCATCACTTGATATTATAAAAAAAATGTAGTATGAACATTAGCAGTCCTGTTGAGTATTGGTCAATGGTAGGAGAGATTGAGTTATTGTCAGTTGCACATATAGACTTCGCGCATGCATTCCGTCCAGTAGCAGCCCAAGTTCAATGTTCGAATGGCGGCGTATAACATGCAAATATACGTGCTTTGAATACTTCGCTAGTATTTTTGAACATGCGCCAAGTATTTTCGAAACAAATTTTTCTTATGATCTTTACACAATAGCATGTACACTCAGCACAACAATACAGCTTTACATATAATTAATCTAGGTACTAAACTATGTAGATGGAGATCGCATTATCAGTCTACAGAAATTATGTTAATTAACGACTTCGGCGGCATAGAATAGATTTTTTTATGATTCTAAGTGATGGGGCGAACAAGTCGTGCGCCTGATGATAAACGACATGCCTGTCTATAACAGTTGCAGTGCCACTCAGAGCTTTATTATTGCCGCCAAGCAGTAATGCTCACATTACTGTTTGGCGGCAGAAATAGGTAAGGCGGCAGTACTTCCCTGGACGAACTCTTAAAAAGAATAGAATAGAGTACAATAATTTAATTCATACTATCAATATCACAATATTACAATTAAAAATACAATGTAAGGGGATAATTTGATCGTCACTAACGCAAACAATAATAATGAATATACAATAAAATAGTATAACTACTGCTTGTCTTAATAAAACGATGTCAAGTAAAACAAAATTACAATTGTTTCAGAAGAAATCCATTGACACTGTAGAATCCTTTATCCAATAAAAGGAGTTTTAGTCGGGTATTAAGCGTTAGTAACACATTGCGATTTGAACTGTTCACGCCAGTTTATTCCTAATCGTCCCGAATCCGATTCTCAGTCGGACCAATTTAATTTCAACGAACTTGTTTCTATTGGTTCTGGTCTGGATGTACTGGGTAGTGTTGATTAGTTAGGCGCCTATTTAATATTAAAACTCACTAGTCTACATAATTCACCTATTATGTTGTGAGAAAATAAATAATTATTATAGTTATTAATACAAAGATCGAAAATAATTAAATATCATTGTGGTGAAATATCCTGATGTTCAATAACCTTATATACATAGGGAATGAAACTATTAATGAAACTATGTGTAACAATCGTAAAAACCTAAGAACTCGATAAACCTTATTTACAATTATTAAAGCGACGTCTCTAGTTACTGGTAGCTGTAAAGGTAACTTGCTGAGTGAAGAAATAGATTTCTCACAGATGGCGCTACGGCGAAAAGGTCGCTAAAAACCAAAACCAGAGGTAATTGCAACAGGCATTATAGAAAAATTCGTAAGGTTCGTTTGGGTTCGGTCCGTGGCTTAGTTGGCATAGCGTTTGGCATGGTTTGCTAGAAAACGTTAGTTCGAATCCCGCCGGATCGAAGGAATAAAACAAACTAGTGAAATAATTCTTCAGGAGTAAAGCTTCAACAGCAGTCGAGCTCCTGTTGAAAGAGTTCGTCTAGGGAAGTAGTGCCACCTTACCTATTTCTGCCGCCATGCAGTATTGTTAGCATTACTGCGTTTCGGTTTAGAAAGGTAAGGGTGCTGGTCAAATTACAGGCACATGGGACTTGTCAACTTTATGACTCAGGGTGACGGTCGCAGTGGAAGTGGCTCTCATGTCTATGCGATTCAAAGCTCTGAGTGGCACTGCAACTGTTATGGACAGGCGTGTAGGTTACCATCAGGTGCACGACTTGTTCGTCCCGTCATTTGGTATTATAAAAAAATATTCACAAATAATTGAATACCATGGTGGTGATTAAACATCTTGACGTACAATAAACTTAATTAACTGCCTCCGTAGCCGAACGGTTACCATGCTGGACAGCCACGCTGACGTCCCAGGTTCGATTCCCGGGCCGGGTGAAATATTTGTATGGCCTACATTTATTACTCTCGAGAGTTTGGGTGTAATTTGTGGTTGTCTATGTATGTGTCCATGGCACCCGCGACACAGGGTTTTCCCTGGTGCGGGGCTATGTTGACTGTGTGCGTTATTATTATCATTAGAAAGATTAATTTTGAATTTTAAATGAGAGAGGCGGTATTTATCGGCAATGGCACAGTCGGCCGGGGCTAGCGAGTCAGGTTCAAGAACTGGCGAATAATTTATCGAGCAGTACCGCTTTCTACATTTACATTGGAA